CGTCGTCACTCTTCTCCGGAGACGAAGAGCTGTTTGCATTTGCTCGGTGTGTCAGCAGACTGTCGCAGATGGGGTGAGTGAGGGGAAGGCGTTGGGGATGACTGGCATGAACTGACCGGAACAGGACCAAGGAGTGGTCCGAGTTGACGGGGTGAGAGACGCGGAGCTCGGGAAGACGTCTTGTAGGGGAACCGATGCGAAGCGCAAGCGGACGATACATGGGCGGAGAAGATAGATAAGGGGCAGGGAGGAAGTTGGGAGAAAGAGAAAGGGGGGGGGGGATGGTAGGGAAGGCAGCGAAGGGGACAGAGGGGGAAGAGAGGGAAGAGAGAGAAGAGAGGGAAGAGAGGGAAGAGATGGAAGAGAGGGAAGAGAGGGACGGGGGAATGCAAGGGACGAGAGGGCAGGAGGGCGCGAGGGATGGAGAGGTGGAGAGGGCAAAGATGAAAGACGGACCAAGACGGGCGAGGCGGACTTTATAGGGTTCGCCACATTCATTCTTGCATGCACACATCTGTAGTGCTGGCTGCGTGCGCATCTACCACCCACCGAACCGCTTCGTCTCCAAGGCCGACCGCCTCCGGACGTATAGTGCCACTCTCTTCATATCGGCATGGGACTTCGCCGTTCACCTTCCCTGCTTCCCCCCCCGCTCTCCTGCATTCTGTTTGTCGGGAGATGCAATGCACTCCTACCACCTCTCAAACCGGCCGAAAGGGTACTGGCGCCCCGCTACTAACTGCAGCGGCGTGCGGTCGTCAACGGCGCCCCCATACGGAACTGAGTCTGCGCCACCGACAAGTGGCACAATGAGTGGCCCAGACATCATCAAGCTACCAGTCAGAGTCAGAGCATGCGGTGGTGTTCGGTGTTCAAGTCCACCGAGCCAACGTCTCTTTCAACAATTCATGAGCACGAGCTTTGTCACGAACCACCTAGATGACAGACATCTGACGGGAAAAGGACCGGAAGAGGACCGGAGCTCCCTCCACAGGAACGGCTGGTCATCCGGAACGTAGTGTCGATGCATAACACCGTGTAACGTATGCCGTACGTACAGGATCTCTACGATGGGCTCCCAAGTCGTTGGCAGCGCTGAGCTCGTCACACTTGGATTTGGGAGTGGTAGTGGCTTGAATGCATGCATGCTGGATGTAGGGCTGGCGAAGACAAGGACGAGTGAGGACTTTGTGGAGTAAAAGTGAAACGACGTATGTAAAGTGAAACAAAGGTGTTGAGTCGGTTCTTTCTGATGGGGCCAGCGCATTGACCTCGGCCACCGCCATCACCGCCATCACCACCGCTCACCAGTACTCTCTAAACATTCCACATCAAAGCTTCACTTCTTTCTCCACCACTACATCCTCGTCGCATCACCATGTCCGATGAGCCGTACGACTTGATCCTCAACGTTCTCACCACCCGATGCAAGCGCTGGATCGAGACCGCCACGGCCTACGCCATCGAGTCGGACTGCGCCAACGTTTCTCCCCTCTTCCTCCTCAAGGCCTGGATCGAGCCCGAGACGTGGAAGGATACGTTCCCAGACGACTTCGGCGACCTCGTAGCCTCTTGCGGCGGTAGCCTCCTCGGGTTTCGTGCGGCATGCGAGTCTCGTATCGCCGCGCTCCCCAAAACGACCGACCCTCAAGCGGAAATGCTACCGGACGCAGACCTCCGATGGATCCTGAGCGAAGCGCACGCTACCTACTTGCGCGACAAGGCACTGTTCATCGACTGTCAAGACTTGCTGGGACCGATGAGAGAGAGGAGAGACTCGGTACTCATCGAAGTCTTGGAGGCGTCAGGAGTGGACAAGGATACCATGGCTCAAGCAGTCGCCGCGAGTCGTACTGAGGCTGGGAGCCAGCACCCCTGTGTCCTTCCAGGCGGAGGTCACAAGCGTGGCATGATCCTGACAGAGCTCAACAGTGAGCATGCAAAAGAACCTACAACGTGTCCAAGGCTGACTTGCCACAGACAACCCGCTTATGAACAAGCCTGCCGAGTCTTGGAAGCGAAGGACCGGCTATGAAGAACACATCGGCATCGCAACCCATCACCTGCTCAAGAGGCAGAGCGTGGTCTTCAAGGGCGGCAATGGGGTGGGCAAGTCAGTCTGCATCTGCGAGCTCGTCCGTCAGGTCGTACTCGGCTCTCATCCGGGTCTGGAGACGACCAAGTTCTGGAGTTTGCAGACGCTCAGCATCGGCTCGGATCCAAAGTACAAGATCGATCGCCTCAAAGTTCTCTTGGAGGAGTGTGGCATGTTGAAGGACGAAGGTGTGGGAGTGGTCCTGGTTTTTGGTCAGTGTGGCTCGGTGGCTCAACTCGAAAAGTGGAAGTGGTCGTAAGAGCTGACGATTCCGTCAGACGACATCCATCAGCTGTTCCGCTGCGCACCCCCAACAAGTGATGGGGCCGTTATCGCCAACATGCTCAAGGTCGCCATGGATGAAGGGACCATCACCATCCTCGCGGCGACCACCAGCGAAAAGTACGCGGAGCGCATCGTCCCCCATCAAGACTTGGACCATCGACTCGTCCAGATCGTGATCGATGAACCCAGCATCGAGCAGACCCAGGAAATGCTGAGCGAGTCGGTGTGCCGCGAGCTGGACGAGAAGCGTGGCGTGAAACTGCTGGACAGCAGTCTTCGCCTCGCGGTTGAGCTGGCGTCAAAGTATATCAAGTCTTCTCGACCGTTCTCGGCGGATTGGTTGGTGGAAGAAGCATACTCGTCAGCCGCCAGGCGAGCGCGATCCATCCAAGACGCCAAGGCGAGAGTGCTCAGGGAGCTGGAGAGAGCGAGGGCCAGATGGAGGTGGTTGGAGGACCCTATCAACGAATCCGACCCGGACAACTGGTCAGAGATACTCAAGGTAAAGGCGCGCGAGCAACAGGAAAAGGCAGAACTGCGGCGACTTCAACAGGCGGAGACCAAGGTCGCCAAGGATAAGGTGGAACGGGACAAGCTCGACGAACAGCTGTCAGGACTCACTCAAGAGCTGGTGCGACCCGAGATCGTTGCGAACTTGACAGAGCGGCAGCGGGTCATCAACCTACTCGCGGAGACCACTGGGAGGCGGAACGAGGTCATCGAGCGCTTGCAGGTTTATGTCACCGAGGACGATGTTAAGGAAGGTCTCGAAAGAATCACCAACATACGTCTCCGTGCGGCCACTCGGGAGGAATACCAGCGGGCTGAGGAGATCGGCCCCAAGCTACGCCAGGTCATTTTCGGCCAAGACAAAGCGATTGACGCCATATCAAAGTGCGTTCTTCGCCGTCTCGACGACCCTTCCTGTCAGCGACCGATAGGCGCCTTGTTGTTCACTGGACCCTTCGGAACTGGGAAAACAGCACTTGGTGAGGCTGTCGCCGAGCACGCTTTCGGCAGCCAGACCAAGCTCCTGCGGATCAGCGCGATATCATGCAAGGGCCCGACTGTCAGAGCCAACCATCTCGGCGGGCGGCACCAAAGAGGCAGACTAGCCACGTTTATTGACACCGCTGGCACCGGGGTCGTTCTGGTCGACTTCGTGGACATGGGCGACTTCCACCTGTACGATCTCTGCGCTGAAATGCTGCAGAACGGAAGCATCAAGGTCGAGGAGACCGGGGAGACTCTGTATCTCTCCAAATTCCTCTTTATCTTCACTGGCACTACCGGTGCCGAGCACATCCGACAACGCGACAAATACGGCCAACAGGTGGTGACGGTGACGGACGAGGGGCAGGTCCACAGAGCAGTTCGGGAGCATTTCAAATCCGGCTTTGTCGAATCCCTTGACGAGATCGTCATCTTCGAGCCCCTTGTTGGGCCCGCGGCAGTCTCCCTGTTGGAGAGGGATTTAGAAGACCTCAAGAGCGTTTGGCGGGTCCATGGCTTCCAGCTCGATCTCACCGACCAGGCAATGGAGTGGCTCACGGCCAAGAGGGAGATGCTCGACGGTTGCGCGGCGGAGAGAGTGCTCGACCGGGCAGTGCAACCGCTCATGAGGACACCCTACAACGAATCAATGAGGGTCACGGGAGGCCAGTTCGGCATCGTGGATTGGTCGGATGATGGAATGCCGGGAGCATCGAGCGCGGCCGGCGAGGGGTCGCTGGTCCTGAGGCCACGTGTGTAGAAATCGGTCCGACATGAGCGCTAGTATGTGAAAACAGCGAACCGTAGCGAGAGTATGAATGATCGTGACTTCGATCTCGGCATCATGATCGCCATGCTTGCTCGCCACACGTCCGCTCTCATCCTCCACGGGAAAACTCTTTGCTAGCATCTGGGTATTTCAACTCCAGGGTAGAAGCCCGTCAGACACAGTAGCTCAGGTGGCCGCGGCTTCAGCATGAATGAATGGATCGCCTGCAACTACGGTTAGAAACAATGGAGCCTCACGCGATGTGGCGGTCATGTGGCGGTCACACGCAAGTGACCGCTAAAGATCACAGCCATTTGTCGGACCAGTAGCAGCTGCAGCTCTCCTAGCGTCTTGAATCACGTTCCATGACCTAGAGCCCATGCTTGAGAAGATCTACTAAGAGAGTAAATATTTGAAGCGCAGGGCACACGCTCGAACAAGCAGGGACGAATGGTCACCGCGTTGGGGGACACCAGTGGCGCAAAGCGCCACTCGCATTCCTCCCCTGCCCTGCCCGTTGTTGCCACCAGGACCGAGTGTCGCTACCACATGGAGTCGGTCAGAACGATGGTCCCGTGTACCTTCAAGGTGATGAAGCCTCACAGCACACCATGGGAGCGATCGCCGCGCGCGCCGCGATCAACGACTCCCGAGGTGGCAGTGCAGTCTCTGGGTTTCTGTTCCGCCCTCTCACTTGCAAACGTCTCTCACCAGTCCCACATCACTCTGAGGCATGCATGTCTGGTATATTCCGAGAGAGCGAGGCCATGACAACCCACTGGCATGCATGGAGCGACTGGCAAAACGCGCCGACAAAGGATGAAGAAGAAAAAGGGGGGGACATCCCAAAAACACTATCGACGCCGACGAGATTCGAACTCGCGAAGGCAAGTGCCCATACCCTGCTTGCAAACTGCTTACGTAATAGCAAGGGTACCCGATAACCGCTACGGGACAGCGCCAAGATCGCTTTCCCAGGTATTGGGAGGGCAGAGGGCATAAGAAAGAAACAAAGGGAGCGGTCGAAAACCAAGAACAACGTCTTGGTCGTCGACCGCCACACCAGGCCCGGTCCCGCCACTCCGACGCTGCCTGTTGACTCCACAACTTCGTGGACCAGCGACAAGGGCGTCTGCAATGGCCTCCGAGCACGAGCGCGCTCCGCATTATGTCCTGCCTGGGAAAGGGACTACAAAGGACCATGTGCAGGTGGAGTTGTGGAGTCAGCAACGGCCACATGAATTTGATTCAAACAGGTTTAACTCCGCCACAAAAGGCCACAGGATACCGTGCGAGTGCATACTGAGTAAAGGTTTGTCCCAGCCTTCAAAGGTAGTCCTAGAATTGTAGCTCGTTGCCAGTCCGTTACTGCTAGGAATCATCTACGACCCGCTGTGTAGACGCTGGCTGCCGCGGCTCTCGAAGGACACAAGGGGAGCATGAGATTTACGTCGAGCGACTCCTCCTGGTCCTCCTCGTAACCAGGCTTGGTGGGTCTCGGCGGAAAGCGAGCGCGTACGAGTACTGTACAATTACTGCAGCTGTTGCTGAGAGAGTCATGGTGGTGGCTCTCATCGACAGGTGTCCTGCACCGATGCGAGTTGCCCCCCGCTTGCTGGCCATGGAGAGGTGCACAGCAGCAACTATCACGGAGGCACACGATACGGTGCGGTACCAGTATTCATTTCATCTCTGCTTGACACGGACGTACTGTGATGCTGTGATGCATCTCGTATCTAGAGTGATGAGGCTTACAAATAGGGGGGCTTCGAGAAGGGTCCCTGTCCTCCACCACTCGCACAACTGATGGGGGAGGTCACCAATGCGTCGGACAGCGTCTTCATCACCGTGCCAATCCTTCTTCCTGTACCCATCCCTCCCCACTCCAACATCTTAATCTCCAGAGGGCCATCGCTAACGGCACTCCCAGAACCCCCTTCTCGCTCTCCCACGTCCGTAGCGCCAGCACCGACGACGCCTTGTTCTTCTCCCCCCTGGGCTCGGGCGGACCCTGTGGGTCTGCGCGGTGGTCTGCGCGGTTTGCGCGATACAGATCGGTGCGTTCCACTGCGAGGACCGAGGCGAGGGCTCTCCACGGGCTCTGGGCGGGGAAGAGGGTGTTGAGGTGGTGCCGGGGGATGCCGAGCACGGGTGGTATACCAGGTTCCACGTTCCGACTCAGGTCGAGCAGCGCGACGGTCTTTCTGTCGGGTGCTTCCTCCCCGCGCAGTCTCCCGAGGACGGGTCCTTCCCACTCGCCCCCCTCGCGTTGGCTCGCTCGGGGAGTCATCGCGCGGAGTCGGTCTCGCAACAACTCGATCTCTTGGAGAACCCTCGACCTGAGTTGTTCCTCCACCATCCCGGGAAGTCGATCCGGCACGACGAGCCCAGGAGTGCGGCCCAACATCTTTAGGTGCGGGCCTGTCGTCAGCGGGGTCGAGCGGAGGGACATACCTGGTGAAGAGAGAGTTTGAAGGACGTCGCGATGGCAAGTCACCCAGAACCCTTTGCCTCGTTTCGCAGGGGCGTACCGCGGATGGAGCACGCGGTCGGGAAGGAGGTAGAGACGGGAATCGGCTGGTTCGGGCTTCGAAGCGGGCTCGGGGTGGTGCGAAGGGCCATCAGAGCCGAGGTCGGGAGTATCACTCGGAACCAGTGCCGGTCGCAGGTTGATCAGAAAGGCTACGGACGCATCAGCGAGGGCGCATCAGCAAACTCCTAGACGAGGCTGTATCACCCACCTGACGGGAGCATCCTCGAGGTCACGATGCACCTCCGTACCGGTGACTCCGCCATGATGGCTGATATCAGCGACGACACCCGCTTGAACTCACCATACGCGTCGGCGCGGAATTTCGGCTGGTCCGCATCGCGCGCCTCGGCATGACGGCGCTGGCGGCGGAGCGACGGGGTGGACGGGGTGACGCGCGATGCCGAGGTGTGCGCGGGGCGTCGCTGCGACGCGGTGCGACTCTTTGCGGTCCTCCCAGCTGCGAGGCAGAAGCAGGAGCACCTTGCGCAGGGCATGAAGACGAGGAGCAAAAGTAACGAGTCACAACGAGATGACCTCTCGGTAAATCGTTGCATTGCCGGCGGTATGACGGGATCAAAAGTTGGTTTCGATCGCGACTCGCCACGTGACTGGCGTCATGGCAACCGCTTCGAGCTACTCTCTTGTTGGATGCCATAAACTCACACACAACCTCAACTATCACTATCACTTCATCTCTAACCCCGATCCAACCCGCTCAAACCACGACGACAAGAAGACACAACACCAGGGCATGGCGGCGGAAAGGTGAGCCGCACCGTGCCATCGACGCGACGCGACGCTGACCCACGCCGCAGCCGCCCCGCCCCGAATGGCGGGCCGTGGACGAGGAGGGCGAGGCAGGCCGACGAGTGGTTGGCCCGTGAGTGGCCGGGAGTGGGCCCCGTGTCGACCTCGAGTCGAGCCGAGTCGACCCCTTGCTAATGATGCAGAGCACAAAGTCGTTGCCTCCGCGACGACCGCCTCGCTCGTGTCTACCTTTGCGGGCTTTCCAGTGGGTTTACCCCGACCTTTCGCGCTGACGCCAGCTCGACTCGCTCAAATCTCGACTCCAATCGTCCCGGGAGAACCTCTCCCTGGTGAGACTTGCCGCCGAGGTGGTCAAAGAGGAAGGCGTCGGCGGGCTATGGCGCGGGTTCCCTCTCCCTCTCATCACCATCTCCATCGTCCGGACCATATCTTTCACCATTTACACATCTACCAAGCGGATGATCAACTCGATCCCCGGCCAGCCGAGCGAGCTAAAGGAGAGCCCGTGGCTGGATATACGCCTCGGTATACTCAATCGCGACAGGGCAAGCGACGTGGCGATCACGAGCGCGTTGGCGGGAGCAGCGTCTGGCGCGGTGGTCTGCGTCGGCAGCGCGCCATTCGAGCTGGTCAAGGTGGGTTGAAAGCCGGTGTCATCGCTTAATCCAGGTCCGGCGACAATTGGAGTACCAGATCTATCGTGACATGCACCCCGAACCGCCTGGCGCCCTCGCCACTCGACACGCGCCGTTCGTACCGCCCACGACGCTTCAGGCCGTGCGAACTATTATCAACAGGGCCGGCCCCATGGGGCTGTACACGGGCTGGAGACTGCATTTTGTGCGAGACACATCTGGTACGGCGCTGTATTTCGCAGAATACGACGTGATGCGCTACTGGCTCGGGCGGAAGAGTAAGGGCAAAGGCCGCGAGGGGGAGGCTGGGGAGCAAGGAGAGGTCCCAGAGTGGGCCAGGAGCTGGTTACCACCTCAGATCATACCCTTCCTTTGCGGCAGCGTCGCCGGTGTCTCGAGCTGGGCCCTGATCTACCCCGTCGACGTGAGTGCGCGACGAGCCAGTTGAGCGGGTTGAGCACGACGGGTCGAGCTGATTCGCGTCCAGGCAATCAAGACCAAGGCGCAGCAGAGGGCTCTGTCGGGCCTAGAACCGAGGACGCCGCTGGTCCAGTTCATGCGCCTGGTCAGGGGTCCCGACAAGGATAACCCGAAGCCACTCCTCCGGGGCATTGCGAGGCTGTACAGGGGGTGAGTGGGTCGAAAAGTTCGTCGCTGAAAACAGCCTCGGCGTGTCGATGCTCCGATCCATGCTCACGCATGGCCTGCTGTGGACGATCGTAGATTGGGCCGGAGGGTGGATAGAGACGAGACCTTTCGAACGGCTCGTGGCGGGTACAGAGCCGTGAGGCGCGACTGCTGGCGCGGAGGTACATTGGCGAGTGCTGCGGGACGGTTCATGTGCGAGCGATGCGGCGGGACTAGAACCTGGAACTGTTCACGCGCGAGACATGCGGCGGGACTGTTCATTGCAAGTGCTGCGAATGCATGTGTTGTACCTCACCCGCCACAGTATCATCCCCGAGCCCCCTCGTACCCATCCTGTCGCATCGCCTCACCCCCGATTTCTGATCGTCTGCACCATCTGCACCTTGCTCCGGACCTGCGCCATCAGCAACGGTCATTGACAGAGACCTCGCACTCGCGCCCGCCCTCGCACCCGCACTCGCACCCGCCCTCGCACTCACCATTTCTTGGAACCTCTTCCTGTGCCGCTCACTCTCCACCCTCCTTCGCCTATCACTGCTCTTCTCGTGGAACTCTCCGAGCCTCAAATCGCGCCTGACTCCGGAACGAGTCATCACGCCCTGGAGTCTTCGGTACATGCCCATGAAATCCGCTTGGCGGGGGACGGGGACGGATCGGCCTGAATACTGGTTCCCCGGTAGACCGTTCTGGGCGCGCGAGGCGGACTGCCACCATTCGAGGGACTCAGAGCGGGGTGGGAGGTCGGGCAGGACGAGTCGAGATGATCGAGAAGGCGTAGGCGGGGACGGCGTGGACGGTGTGGACGGTGTGGACGGGCCCGGGACGGGTGAGGAAACCGAGCTGGACGAGGCGGTGTAGCGGATCCACCTCGGTGCGAGGGGGGCGATCTGAGAGCGGAGCCCGCGGGACAGCATGGCGAGGGTGTAAAGTGTCTGCGGGAGAATGGACGTTGAACGAGAGGACAGAAGAACGAGAATGAATATTAACGAGGGTAGACAGAGAGTGGACAAGAAACTCGATTCGTCCTGGTGGAGGAGAAAAACGGAAAACCCATAGTGAGGATATTTATTTGGCCGTGGCGATAGAGTGGTGGTATTGGTACAATAACATGCCTACACTACGAGTACATGGAATACCGTCGCGATGCATCCCGGCCCATCGTCGCAGTCTCGCTGCGCTTCGCTTCGCTTCGCTCGCTCCTCACCCGTCGCCCTTGTCGTCGCCCTCTCGCCGTTCCTTCCCCCTCTGAGCCATGCGAGCGATGGACGACGGACTCAGGAAGAAGCTCGCCGGGCCCTGGCCGTCTCTCCTCGGCCGTGGCGGAGCGTCTGGCCATGACTCTCCAAACTGCGGCGGTGGGGGCGGGTAGAACTCTGCG